TCTGCTGAGTTTCTGGCTTTTGGAAACATTAGTCACTGGGGATCAAATCGCAGCAGGGCCTTTGATGAGGGCTTTACTTTCCTGCCTGTGTTAAAAACTGGAGCGTCAGATTACAGGCGCACTCTCACAGGTTTTCTGATGCAGCCCAGATTGTGTGATTTAGATGTCTGTTTGTTGAGTCTGGATGTTTCAGGTTGATCAGATAGAGACAGCTCTATCAGGCAGATCTAAGTGTGGCGGTTGGTCCTGAGCCATTAAAAGTCTCTGAGCACAATGACCTGCAGGAAACATTCACAAATCTCAGGAGAGTTGTGACTCATGGTATAATGGCGTAAGAAAAAGAAAGTTTCTCTTCAACACTGCTAGTAGAGGAGGTCCAACAAAAGGTGAAATAAGGGAGCTTCTCACAGATCATGCTATGATTTTAATGCCAAAATACAGATAACTTATGATGAAAATTACAATGAAGTAAATTAATATCATACCTAAGACATTGGGCATTGTTTTGGGTGTAATAGGCACGTGTTTTTCACAGACCTCACCTTATATTTTAAAGAAAGTCATTTGACTGAAACACAAGCAGAAGAACACCACATGGCTATACATTGGCTAAATAGGTCATTTGCTGGGTGGGATTTGAAAAATAATAACGATGGTAATGGGTTCACCATATGTATTCATTTCATGAGTATGTGGCCATCTGATCCTGTTTGTGCTGAATGCCACTTGTCTGCTTGTAAGTGTTTCATATTTGATTTCAGCCCTACTTCATCAGAGGGACAGGTGAGCAACAATGAATAGCAAACACCTGCAGCCAGCTGTGTTTCTCAGGGCTCTGCAGGGCCTGAAGGTGTATGGCTTCAAGTCCGGATCTGAGTCTGACACGTGAGGCCACAGGCCAGGATGAGTCTACACTGAGTGACGCACAGGAGATGTGTTAGATGAGGTATCATGGGTGGGAAGGGAACAAATATCCAAGTATATAATGTTCCTATGCGCTCATACACAAATAGTTTTTGCCTGAAAGTGGATGTGAATTTGGCTAAAAAAAACATTTCCCCACATTGGTTTGAAAAAAGGATGCATCAAAAGTTACAGAATTATTTTTAAGCTTTGAAACAATTGCTATGGGTCTGCACAGGGCCAGATCAACCCACTGGGGGGCCCCAGGGCAAAAATTTTATAAAAAAACATGAGCAACCTGTTTTGGCCAGAGCCCCCAAAAAACAACCAGTACACTGGAATAATAAGCATTTCTACAGCAGACATTTTGACTTGTTAAAGTATGAAAAGCAGTAATGTTACTAATAGCATTGTTTCTATTCAAATGTCATGACACGAGTCAAGTTTCCATCCAAATTTAACAGACATTTTATGTGAATTTCAGGGAAATCTGCAAAAGAAAAGGCAAATTATACATCCAACGTTTCCATCCACGACTGTTATGCAAATGTTGCAAGTTGAACGCATTGACAGTTGGTGGCACTAATGGGTGCCATGAAACCACTGCAGAAGAAGAGGGTGATTAAAAGGGGAGCCAGTCAAACCTCAAACAACTGAAAATGACGTGGAAAACGTGTTGGTAATTTCTACGTTTCCTGTATAAATTTGAGGGATCGCTCCACACAGATCTGACGTTTTCATCTCTTCAGCTTGAATCATGTTTAAGTCCTCATATTGTACATTGTATTCTATTCGCTAAGTCTGGTTCCATTTGCTTTCTACAAACAGGTGAATGGAAATGCACTTAGACATAATGAGTCAGCAGGCACAATACGTGGACCCTGCTGAATGGAATTCAGCCTCAAACATTTTATTATTTGCTTTTCTTACTGTGACCATTTGTGTAACCACAACCTTTGCCGAACCTGAATATTGTAGCAGCCTAGCTTTCACAATTCCTTAACTGTTATTTATTGCTATAAATTAGATATTCCCCTAACCTTAACTGTAGTTGCCATGCACAGATATGGTTGAAAACATAAGAACGAAGAAGAAAGAAGTGTCTATAACCAGTGCTAATGGGTCTGTGAGGCTGTAATACTCATTGCTAAGAAATGTTAGAAATGTTAACAAATTTTACCTAGACGTACATGAAAAGAGAAGGATCACCAAAGTTCACAAAGACAAACAATGTCTGAACCAAATCTAATGTTTGTTCATCCAACATTTGCTGTTTTTACACTGAACTAATCAGAGTGTCTGGAGTTTTGCAGCATTGTCCAATATTAATGTTCTTGTCTGGCGAAAGGCTTGTGTAACCACAATATAGACTTAAATATTAAAGGTATCAGTACTAGATTTTGACACAAAGCCTCCACTATAAGACATCAGGACTAAAGTAAAAATGCTGGAACCACCTTGGGGCCCATTGTGTTTCAGTTTTTGATGTGTTTTACAAGTATGTACTACCTCAAGATTTGTAATTAAACAAATGACCACAAAGCAGTTGTCATACAGGCAACATGGGGCCTCCAGGGAAGATGCCTGCTTTGCCTGGTTGTTAATTCAGCCTTGAGAAACTTGAGCATTCCACCCCAAGTGCCACCCCATTCTCCTGGAGTAAAGATGTTGGTGTCAAATGAAACTAGATGACCTAATCATCAATTGGTATCAACCATGTCCTTGCCCACGTTATGCTAATCCCATGCAGTTTTAGGCAAAACAATGCCGTTTTTTGCATGTGGTATAAAAATAGTTTAGTTATTTCCGTTTAGTGTATTTGAATATTTATGCATACTGGGGTCCCTAAACAGTTTTAAAATTGTATAAATTGGGAATGACAGGAGGGCTGAGACACATACTTAATGCCACCCCAGCATATAGCAGTGCCCCTCTTGTGCCACTGCAGTCCAAAAAAGTCTGGAAACGCCCCTGCTTGAAAGACCTCCATAACTAATCAATCCTGAGACCTTGGTTGTGATTTGAGCGCCATGTAATGGGTAATGACTATTTATATATATAACTTATGGAACATTGCTTTTTAAACATACAGAAGCAAATGCTGCATTAATCCCACTGCCTGATAAAGAATACAATGATATGTTCTAAAAGGACATTTGACACCTGGGCAAACTCCATCTGCTAAGTTAGATTGTGTGATACGACTGAAAGATCCAGAAAAGGTAATAAATGGACCTTGTGACCATGAAGACAGATTGCACATGCAAGAGTGCACCCAATGAAAACAGGCAGTGAAACTATTTGTTGCACAATATTCTGTCTGTATTCTGTTAAAGGAAAGACTTCAAGGGAAAGAAAAATAATAAGAAGGTAAGACAGCAAATAAGCTGTTGATGATTGTGTCAATCAAACAGCCACAAACCAGACTTTTACTGATTGAAACCACCAATCAAATAAGTCAGACAATGGATTAGTTTTCAGATATTTCTTTTTGGTGCTTTGCTTATAATCTTTTCATTCTTTTATAATAAAGCAACTTGAGGTTTTGCTAAAAAAAATTTAAAAAAATGTAAAGAATAAGGCTATTCTTTATTTCTCTGTTAACAGATCCCATTAAAAGAACAAAGCCAATAATAAATTGATCTGTCTGTGAAGTACTGACTATGTAGCAAAATCTGGTATGGCTTATTCCTCTGGGCCAAAAACTACTAAAAAGTGTTGAACTTGGGCATTCATTTATTTGAAGTTAATTTAACGTACTGCTGCTGTAAATAGCACCAAATGTGTAATGTTTTCTTAAAACTACAGTACTCAGGTTTTTTGGGAAATTACTGTTTTAAACATTATATTTGCGAGCTGTTTTTGAAAATGTATGTCTTCAGTATGAACAAATAGTTTGGACTAAGTTGAAAAGTATTGTGGGATGGACTTTTGGTTTTGATCTTTTTATGGGCTTTATTGACAGTAATAGTAAGATATGGCTATATGACACCACTCTTTAAATCTCTTTTACATCTAACATTACACAGATCAGTGTAAAGGTGAAATAACTTAAAATCTGCAGAAGAGGAAAACTTATTCCTCCTGATACAAGTTGAACATATTAATATTGTTTTGTTAGATCGAGGGACTGCAGTTAAATCAAAGAAGGGTGAGTTATCTGGAGGCAACAAAGTGTAAAACAGGCTCAAGATTCCACTTTTACCCTCTGCAATGCTGGAGCTGTACACACCACTGAATGCCTTTACTCTAAGTGATGTCTTGTGCATCACAATTACCCACACACAGCCCTGCATCAGACCGTGAGTTGACTTTTATGTTCATGTGAATGTGGGCTGCAGCAGCAGCCGATGACAGCTTAATTCCCGGGATGGGCCCCCCCTGCTGAGGCCCACCATTTGTGTAAGATGACAGACGGAGATCAGACCGAGGAGAGACGAGTGGGAACCCTCTGAGTACGCTCAGGTTTCTGGGCACTGTGAAAAGATTTGTCCAGGCCATTCAGATTTGATGGAGTTTCCCATGTTCTGCACTTCAGCGGGTTTTTGTCAAAGTGTTTGAATAATGAGCCCTTCTATCTTTCTCATCTGTTCACGTAAAGGCTGACGTTGTGTTTAGTTTGGGTCCTTGATGCCACCAAAAACTACATGTTGAACTTTTCTCTCATCACAAGCCAGCAGAAGAGGGGTCCCAAACAATTACTTTGGAAAAGGCAGGAAACAGGTAAACAGGTGTAGAAAAAATAGAAGAAGGGTAGACAGAGGGGAGTGGGGTGAAATGAGCTGGAAAGAGGGGTGACCTCAGTTTAAAAGGGGCTGGGTAATAGAGGTTTTGGACTGACATGAGCGACTAAGGTAAAAAAGGGGGCAGAGGAAGCAGGATAAGAAGGATTAGGGGACCTGGGGAAAGAAGGTTGTACTACTTTGATAGAGGTCAGAGTGTGCAGCAGTTGAGGAAACAGGCGAGACAGGAGAGCATTGTTTCTGAACATCTAATTTTGAGATAAGTGTTGTTTTTAACACGTACCTGAGGAATGTGGCTAATGCAATGTTGACCTTCTGAAGATGACAGCGGGCAAACGTCTCTTGAGTGCTGAAATGACACGAATGTGCTTCATCTTCCTGCTGATGAGTAATGCCATTTCAGTCTCTACACAGTTTAATGGATACAACTGTGATGCCAACTACCACAGCAGGTTTCCTGGTGAGAATACAATCCACACACTCTTCTTTCATTCTGCCTACAGGTGTGGAACACTTACATTGTTTATGACACATTATAATGTAGTTGTGTGCCAACTATAAGGGCATTTGAATATTATTTATTTCTTATTTGTTTCATTTGACCAATTATAATTCCTTCTATGAAGCATCTATAACCTGTTCATAAATACTTAATGAATGCTTTATAATCAAGTATAACACATAGGAACCACTTACAGTGTGTTATAAAGCATTTATTAACTGTTTATAAACATGTACAAATCATACTGAGGCATACTGTTTATGAATGACATTAAATGTACAATTTGTTAGATAGTATTACAACTATATTATGTTATAACGCATTCATTGTTTGTACAGCAGTTATGGATGGATGACTTTTAAAGGAGTCATAAATGACATATATGTATATGCCGATTATAAATGCTAAATTGTTAAAAAACAAAAGTTTATTTTTTAGTACAGAAGTTAAATGGAAAGTGCAAAACGTGTAATTTTAATGAACTTTATTTAAATGTTTGGCAGCTTTAGCTACAGTAAATGGTGTACTTTCTACTTAACTTCATATATCTGATTGTATTTTTCATCAAAACAAATAGCTTAATGAAAATGTCTGTTATGCATTTAAGTACCAAATTAGCTCCACTTGAACTTTCTGCTAAATTTAAATCGTTTGGGGGCAGTTTCGTACAATGTTTTGTGCCTGTGATACTTAAAAATCTATTTTTCTAAAAATGCTTTTAAATATGTGTGTTGCATTGCAGCTAGGGCACTTAAGATCATGGCCTCTGTATATTGTCAGTGAATTTGGAGGATGGTAGTACCACGGGGGAGAATAATTGTATTCCTTGGCAACATGGAGAGGGCTTTTAATCAGACATTGGGAAAGAAAGGTTTTGAATAAGTCTGTAATTTCTTAATACTTTGCTAAAGAGGTTTCCTAAAATGATTTGGCCACCTGCCTGAATAGATCAAATGTAAAAAAAAAAAAATCAAATCATTTAAATATTATAGGCACTTTCTTTTCAGCATTTAGATTCCTGCCTACCACCCTGATATAATATAAACACTTCATAGAAAAGGACAAATGTTGAAGTCGTTATATCACCCACTGTGGTCCATAAAAATAACAATAATAAATGTTTTTATTGACGATTCTATAATTTGGGTGATTTGGCCTCTGAGCTCTGTTATTTGCCCAACATTGATTTGAAAATTCACATAATGAAAGTGTTGATTTTCAGACCTCTTTTATAGCTGGTGAATATTAACCGGACTTCAAGCCTCACCTTTGCAGCAGTCTTTTTTTCCCCATCCCACACTATAAGTTACATGTTTTTTCTTCATAGTGCAATAGTCCTACTGGATTTGAGTCCCACCATCTAATCAGGGACTATTTTACCCCTGAGATGTCAGATAAATTCACCAGCTTCACCAAAAATTCAGCGGCAGTTTGCAGCATTTTTCCTGCATAGTTTCTTTTCACGTTATTACCCTTCAGTTTTGACACAACTCAAAAATATATCTGTAATTTCTGAAACCACTCATCTAACAGCTAACATTATCTTAAGTTAAAGAGGTGCTGTCAAATCCTCTCTCTGCCTCTCGTCCTTTCTGTTCCTCCAGGTGAGCGGGACATCAGTGTATACTGCGGGGTTCAGACCATCACTTTAAAGATCAACTTCTGCCCTGTGCTCTTCTCCGGCTACACCAACGCAGATTTGGCCCTGAATGGTCACCACAGTGACTCCCAATGCCGCGGCTTCATCAACAACAACACCTTCCCCACTGCCGTCTTGTTTAGCATCAGTCTCAGCACTCTAGAGGCCTGCGGTAACAGTCTGGTGGTAAAGAACACACAAGAACATGGTTTTAATATAATCAATAAGCAACTTCATCATGTTGTTTATTGACTTGGGAGAAAGCACAGTGACATGGCTGAGATCTCTCTCTCTCTCTGCAGGTCAGCACAGCCTACGGGGCCAATGCCTACGGGAACATGTCTCTGGTACAAATTGGGAACGTCTCAGGCTATATCGACACCCCTGACCCACCGACTATAATCAGCTACCTGCCTGGTTTGTTATATAAATTCAGCTGCAGCTATCCACTGGAGTACCTGGTCAATAACTCACAGCTGGCATCGTAAGTTGCTAAAACAAACCCTGACCTTTCAGAAGTTTGTGGATTTGATATTAAGATGTATTGATTTAATTATGAATTAATTAAGATTTGATTATTGTTATCCTAAACTGTGGTGACAATTCAGCGACTGCCTGAGTGGGTTTGTGTCTTAAGGTATTCTGAAAACTATTTGTTTTAGAATTTGCATATTTTCTTAATGACCTAGATGCTAATTCACATTCACACATTCTTCTAAACTGTCATGTAAATAAATACATGTACTACAGCTTTATCATGCATCAAAACCTTTGTTTTCCAAAATTATGTTTATTCAGTAAACACCCACAAAAGATGAATAAATAAAAAGCATCCAAATAAATGTGTTGCATCTCTTCCCAGCTCCTCTGCTGCTGTATCTGTCAAGGACAGCAACGGTACATTTGTGAGCACGTTGAGTATGATCCTGTACAATGTGAGTAACACAGTTTATCTTATTATATAGTCGATGATAATTTCCATTGCAATGCATGAACTCTGAAGCTGAGGTTCAGATAGATTTTCTTTTCTTTTTTTTATGAAAATTGAGTTCATGATCTTTGAATCAAGTTAGTGTTTTAGTTTAATTAAAAAGTATCAGTAGTAGTTAGGAGGCTGAAATATCACCAGATTTATACTTATAAGTGACATTTCATATTTTTCTTACTGTCAACAAATGCTGTGAAAAGACAGAAACTGAATTATCCTTCATTATAACGAGTGTGGGCACTGTGATTTATTTTGACTAAATCTTACTGTAATGTTCACTAGAGCACCAGATGATGCGTTTTAATGCATCACTGAAAATAGTCCTGGACAAATGCACTATTTATATTTATCTTTGGGTAACCTTTGCTAAAAACTACACTGGGCACTGTAGTAACTGACATGGTTTTGAGGCTGAGAGACACAAACAAGGCAGCATTAGAAACTATTGTGAGACGGATTAATACATTGGTTTATGGTTTCAGTTATTTCAAGGGATTTATTGACAATAGCAAAAATGTAGAATACGGACAGCATTGTAATTTAATAATAATTACATTTTCTTTTTATGTCAGGACTGAGCCCCTTTTATTAATTTCAAGTTTCTAATTTCATGTTTTTTTAGTAAAAAAAATAACCCTTTTTTGTTTTTCTTTCCACTTTAATTTTTTCCTGTTACAGGATTCGACATACAATCAACCTCTCTCTATTCCAATGGCAGGACTGGCTCTGAAAACCAGAGTATTTGCTGCTGTGAAAGCCACAAACTTAGACAAACGGTACCAGATGACATCCAATTATTCACTATACTGAATATTGGTTTTCAGATGTGACAAAACTTTGCTTAAGTAGATTAAGATTATGCCATAACAACTTTACTGAAGCAAAGATGATTGAATTGCAACATTTTCCCACCACAATTTTTTTTACAGATTTAGTCCTTTTTTCCCCCTATGGTTTGCCTACATTCATTATGCCATTATGTTATTATTCAAAGTGAAGGCGCCAGTCCACAGCAGAGAAAGCCATGATCTGTGCTTTCCCATGTTCAGTTAGATCTCTATCCTCCACCCCAGCCTACAGTTCTGTCTCTCTGCAGGTGGAACATCTTGATGGACTACTGTTACACAACCCCCTCAGGGAATCCTAATGATGAACTCCGCTATGACCTTTTCTTTGGGTAATCTTGCTTTTTTCCCCTTTCAAGATGATGACTTGATAAACCACAAAAGAGAGTCATTACCTATTCAGGCTCTCCAAACGGCTTATCCCAAATGAATGCTTTTTTCCCTTCTCAGTGAGTGCTTAAGCACATATCTAGGCATCAAATCTGTCATTTTCAGTGTGTGCATGTACATGTGTGCATCTGTGTGTTGTACTTATTTGACACAGCTGCTACAAAGACCCACAGACGACGGTCTTGGAGAATGGGAAGAGTCAGATGGGACGTTTTTCCTTTGAGGTTTTCCGTTTTGTTAAACACAGACATCAGAAGATGTCAACTGTGTTTTTGCACTGCGTCACCAAGCTTTGCCGGGCAGACGACTGCATCATGCTCATGCCAGTAAGTGTAAAAAATCACGATTCTCAGTTTGTGCCTTACTGTGTGGCCTCAATGAGGACTGAAATCTGATGATGTGATTGGCAGATTTGTGGGCGACGGCGCAGGCGGGATGAAGGGCAGAGCCTTGATTCCCCACCATCAGCATCTGGGAACGCCGTCATCACCGCTGGACCAATCATCACCAGGAGTGGTATGAACAATAAACCGACTCTCAAAAGAGAATGAAAGAAAATCAATTCCACTCACACATCTGTACAATAAATATGAAGCTATTTGGCTTAGCAAAGGTAAAAAAGAACTAGTAAATCTAAAGCTCACTAATTAACCTATTATATTTGGTTTGTTTAATCTGTACAAAAATTAAGATAAAAATGTCATGTTATGTTATATATATTTTCATCGAACTCTCGAAGATTGAAAACAGGGGGAAAACAGTTTGCCTGAACAGCCTGATCATATAGTCTCGCACATAGTTTGTAAAAACTCAGTTTGTTATTTTGACACTTTGATTTCTGTACAGATAAAAAGAAAACCTGATATAACAGATTAATTACTGAGGTGCTGCTAGACAGATTTTTGTTACTTTTAGACGGAGCTGTCGAAAACTGTTTCCCCTGTTTGCAGTTGTTAAGCTAAGCTAACTGTCTCCTGGCTACAGCTTCATATTCGACACAGACATTAGAGTGGGAACATTTCTCTCAGCAGTCTCAACAAGAAAGCGAATAAGCACACTTCTCAAATGTCAAACAAATTTAGATCAATACATCCACAGAGCCACTGAAGATTAAAGTATGTGCAAAAATGACTCAATAAACACTTTCTTAACTCTCATTTTTCAGATGAAACTCCTGTCAACAACTCTCAACTTGGTAAGCTCCCAAGGCAATGTTACAAAACATATAAAGGTTCAAAATATTACCCATGACTAAGTCCTGGGATAGGTGCAAAGACAGAAGATACCCATGGAAATCACTGATTTATGGAACCAACAAAAAGGGCTCCACTGATCTGACACAAGCTCAGATCACGTTAAGCCTACGTCAAAGAACATGTCTGTTTCAAGTTTCTGGTTTTCTTCACCTTTTCAGCATCTGGCAACCCCTCCCAGCCAATGAACCCAGTGACCAGTGCTCTAATCTCAGGCGTGGTCATCCTGGGCGGGGTCAGCGTGGGCTTCTTGCTGCTCTCGGTACGCCTCCTGCTGAAGTCCCGCCTACCAACAGCCACAGCCTCAGGTGTTTGGAACCCCAGCTTTAAATGAATAAACATCTGTATATAATGGTGTCTTTATACTGACAATATGCAGAATGTGTTTAACAAACTGATAATGTAATGTGCATGTGCGCTTTCCTTTGTACGCACATTATTAAATAGGTATATTGTATTGTTTTAGGTGTTGTGTATTTATTGCCTTCAATACCTCATTCGTGTTACTCATTGTTCGGTCAATTACAGTGTTTACAGAAGCTTTACACTCATAACTCTGATGAAGATGGAGAAAAAATTCATCCTTAGAACTTGTAATAAAGGACTGCATCAGAAATATTGGTGCGTAGCTTTCAATTTCTTTCTTTGAGCCTTCAGTTCTTCACATTAGCTCTGGAACCAAGGGAATAAAAACCCAAATACAAATCCTTATCACAAAAGAGGTGGATTGTTTTTTGTTTGTTTCTTTGTTTCACTGTCAAAATTATATCATAACTGCAAAATTTGAAGGCCATGTCAAACTCACTGAAAGCTTGGGGAAAGTACGAGTAGAGCTTGAGCTGATGCGGTTTTGTCAGCTGCCTTTTCCAAGGTCTAGACTCAGTTGTATTCAAACAATGATTTTGAATTATTCATAAACACTGAAGGATTCGTTTTTCCTTTATGGGTTGATGGGTTGAATATTTTCTTAGTTCTTAAGCTAAGCAAAAGTGTTAATACTTGATGCCCCTACAAGGAACTTGTAACCACCACCTCGTTTCATTGATTTCAAGGGCAATCCAACCAAATCTAACCCAGTGGCAGCCAGTAAGAATAACTATACAGAAATAGCCCATTTTCTTGCTGATGTTTATATTTATAGGTCATATAGAGGCATCTGTATCAAACTGGGACTGTTTCATAACCAGTTAAAACCTTGTAGTACATATAATATCAATATAACTAAACAACTTTATTTTTACATTGTACAACCTACTATCTCCTAATGAATGGCTGTGTACTGACACATATTTGTATTTTTGGTTATAAACAAATACCATTATATTCATGCGATTTCCCACATGATTTATCTGACTGATATCAGTTAAGTCTGCTTTATTCTTTAATATTGGCTCACATCTGTGAAAGTTTTCCAAATGTCATGGCCTCATGGGTGCCCAATCTCCAGGAAAATGAATAAAATACCAGGTACTGCCAGAGCTCATTTGATGACTGCCAGAATTAATCTTTTAATTTTTGCCGTATTGATTTTCTTTTCTGATGACCTATATAAATGTCTGTTGGAGGCAGCTGCGTCTCACGTGTCTGACTTTGCGGCTGTTTTTGTGACCCGCACGGCTCTGCTGCATTCACTGCTCTTTATCACTCTAATCCCTCATTTCAACAGCCATTTTGTGATGTATTCAGCGTCCACAATGACCACAGATAACTGAAATGAGAGGAATAAATGTTATCCTCCAGCCTCTCAGTTTACTATCAGCGATAATTGATTAAACCCTCCTTCCAAAATGGAAATGAGGCTGGTATTCAGCTTTGAATGTTGAAGCCAAGTTCAGGCGGAGTGAAGTCCACAGAAAACGTATTTTTTAAAAACCTGTGGATATATTTGTGTGGGGGCGAGAGGACAGAAGGACTCTTGTCATGTTTAAGTGCACACGTCATGAAATAATAACATTTGACAGCGTGGTTTCATGTGTTTGACGAAAAATTGACAGAGACGCCCATCTTCCCAGGTGGCTCAACTGACAAGATCAGGTTTCCAACTGTCCTTCAATCATTATTTCTCAGTTAAACATCAACATAAACCTAATTTTAAATGATACTCCAAATATATGGGAATTTCTGCTTTGGCTCTCATGCACGAACACAAACATTCTTACGTAATTCTTCAAAATTCGCAGTTTTGAATAAAAAATTCACAGGGCTTAAACATGATACATGTTTGTTGATAATAATATGTTACAAAATAATGAGCATCAAAAGTCGTCATATAAAAGGTCTTTTGTGCAAATTTGTCAAATTAAGGGTCATCCAGGTCACATTAAACCACCAAACACCTTAGAAGACAACACGTCCTCTTTCCTCTATTATGCGTGAGGTCCCAAGTGAGTAGAAACCATACATACTCTTTCTTTATTAAGTTTCATATTAGTAGGCAAAGGCATTTCACACACAAAGTCACAAAGCCTTATGGACATTGTCTGAGCATGTAACTTTGAAGGGGACTGTGTTGGGTTTCATCATTTGCCTCCAGGAGAAGACCACAGTATCTCAGCCACAAAAAGTGACTTGTTTACGCAAACTGAGGCAGCCCCACCAAAGTGGCATTGACCCTGTTTCCATCCAATCCTAAAACAGTGTTGTGACCACACGATGGTGATGCTCGCCATATATAAAACAGCCCACTGCTGTCTTGTCCTAAACCAGAAAAGAGACTGAGGAGGTAAGATCCAGGCTAAGATGCAAACAAGGTTTCCGCGACTGACAGCCCTGGATTAAGCTTCTAAATTTGGATCTTAATTGTTAAAACCGCCTCAATGGATCTTGCAGATGTTTTCTTCTGCAATGTGTTGGATTTTTTTATTTACTATTTTTTTTGTGTTTGACATCTGTGTGTTTGCCTCAGCATTTTCACAGAGGGCAGAGCAGTGAGATGGCTTTATTCAGTGTCCTATTCCTGACCTCCCTGTGTATTGCGGGTCAAGAGGCCCTCAGTGTATCGGACTGTGGGCCGTACGCCAGACGACCAGGTAAGATGGCCTTCAGGCTCACATTTTTATTTTGATATGAGGAGGTCATATTGACTTTATTTCAGATGTAGACCTTTTAGGGACGTCATATTGATTTTAGTTTACTTCAGATATTCAATTAACGCATGTGAAAGAATGCTGTAAATTGTGCTGGTAAATATGTGTTTACAGAAGAAATGATGCTAAACCAGTTTAATTAA